CTCCTCATTATTCGAACCTACAGTTCCAGGATGAAATGTTAGATTTTCCAGTACTTTCAATGAGTGCCCAATTAAGGGTTAAATCCTATGGCCAGAAGGCAACAGCATTGTTGATTTTGGTTGGTTCGGTTGATCAGATGATTGGCCAATGGAGCATTCTATTCTGACTAGTGATAGCTACTCATATTTAGCAAGTAAATGAAATAAATAATTGGCAATCAATATACTAGCAGGTATTTTTGACAGTATAAACAGAGGATGAGAGAGTGGGGGTGGAGCTGCACTAGGATGCGGCTGATTAAAGTTAAGATATTTGACGCGCGAGTGATGGTGGAGGCTTGACGTTATGTATACGGTCGCTACAATTGCCCGTTAGCACGCACGTGGTAGTTATCGGTAAAAACACAGAAGAAGGCGCAACTTGAGTGGTCACGGGGCGGAAGGGCGTGTCGTTCCGAGGACAGAGGTGTTAGCAGGGCTGCCAGAGCCTGATGGGAAAAGCTGTTCGCTGAGGTTGCCGGTAGTTGCGCAGAAAGGACCGTTAGGCGCCTCCAGGGGGGAGGGAGGGCAAATGTTTGGTGTGCCCTGGAGCAAGTGCGTCCAGTGTTGGAGAGTTGCCGCGGTGATTCGCTGGGCATGTTTCGGCCACCTCGCTGCAGGGAGGTTTTTGGTCCGAAGGAGGCCAGTTTGCGATAGCCAGAACGTGATTGCAGTTGGTTAGAAGAAAAATGCGTGGTCGGGATAGGTGGCAGCGGGGTAGAAGTGAATGCTGTCGCAGCGGCTCGTGGAACACCAGCCAAGGACCTCAGCGCTCTCAGGGAAAAAAAGAGGTCGGTGTGGCCCTTTGTGAGACCTGCTCTGGTTTTCGGGTGGTTCCAGTGCGCGCACTTGTTTATTAAAGTACACCCCAGGTACTGTAGTTTACTCCCTCTAGCAGTAGGAAAGGGTGGTCAGACTGCGTCCTACGAGTGGAGGGGTGGCTTGTGTAGGCCTCAGCCGATGTCTGGGGTGTAAACTTGGTCCAAGGTCTTTGGTTCTCCTCTGGTGGGTGGGCAGGAGAATGCTGTGGAATTCTGGGGAGTTACAGTTTCGAGGCTGGTAGTGGTTGGAAATCACGCCCAACCTACAAGGCTGCGCCTCAGGATGGGAAGGGGTGTTGCTAATGGATAGCATGAGTGTCTTTAATGGGCAGAGTTTCAGCGTGGCATTAAGTAGATAGAAAACTATTATGTTGTGGCCCCACACATGGGATTGCAGGTTTGCGAACGCATACATTTATAGGCAGGAAGTAAAATAAAGAAAAATAACAGCGCAGAATAAACAAATAACAAGAGCAGAATAGAAAAATCACACGGAGCAGATGAACGAAGGAAATAACCAGATGCAAGAGTTGCCTTGCTAAAAGTAAATAATTGGAAAAGACTGGTGACAACTGGTGTTTTTTTTTTTTTTTGGTGTAGCATCTGATTGCCATATCAAGAGTGTTCGTTGGAAGGCCTTGACAGCAGCAGGAAGGAAGACCTTGCTGTATCCTTCCTTCAGCATCTATGGAGGGTAAGCAGTCTGTCAGGGTGAAGCTGCTCGCTCAGTTCTGTCAGGTCACGTGCAGGGGGGTGGGATTCTTGTCCGCGCATGGGATGACAGCTCTGGCAGGACTCTCCTGTCAGTGAGAGGTCGGTGTGTGCAGGAGATGACAGCGTTCTCCAGCGTCCAACATGTAGGCGGTAGGCAGAACTGGGTGTAGTGGGGCTCCATAGAAGGGCCCGCTCAGAGGGCCGCGGTGGAGTGTCCAGTATCCAGTCTTCTCCAGTGTCTTCATCAGTTGGGCATGTTAGAGACCGGTCTGTTACGCGGTGAGGTCTGGTGGTGGTGCATGTTGGTGGCGAAGGCATTGATGGACGCGGGAGCTTGTCGAAGGTGGCCCGAGCGATGTCGTCGTATGACAGGAGGTCGTAAAGAGATCGCAATGCCACCCTGTTGGCTGGGTGCCTGGCTCTTTTCGTAACCTGTCTGTGTCCGAGTGTCGGGGTGGGGGCATGCGTGGCTCCATTTGGTGTGAAGTGGATTGAATGTCTGATGGCGAGGTGTGGAGGGGCTGAGTGAGGAGGGATAAGCCAGGAGGTGTCGCAAGTTGGAGGGACCAGCTGCATTGGGGGAGGAGTGGGTACTTGATCAAACTATTTGAAATGTAGATTTAGCTTCGTTGGCTGACCCACTGTCGATCCCCCTCAATAGAATATGCCTCCTTGGTGTTGGCATCTGGGGGCATATAGGCTGCAGTCACAACAGTAGATGTAAACTATGGACAGATGGAAAGGTCTACACTTCACCATGAGAAATTCTAGCTTAGCAGAGCAGTGACTCCCGATTGTAGTAGTGTCCGTTCAATATGGCTGGATATACACCAATCAGCCATAACATTATGAATAAATCTAAAACTGATTCTGGTTATCATGGCTCCTGTCAGTGGGTGGGGTATAGTAGGCAGCGAGTGAACATTTTGTCCTCAAAGTTGATGTGTTAGAAGCAGGAAGAATATGCAGTGTAAGGATTTGAACGACCCTGACAAGGGCCAAATTGTGATGGCCAGATGACTGGGTCAGAGCATCTCAAACTACTGCTCTTGGGGGGTGTTCCCAGTTGAGTAGTAGTTCTAAAACTAGAAAGGCACCATATAAGTAGTACAGTACAATAATGTAAACTCTTTTTATTTAATATGGTAGTGATGTCTGCAGACCGCTGTTCCTCTGTCTCCTCCATCTCGTCCATCTCTCTTGTGGAGATCAAGACCGAGACACATCTAGTCCTTCAAGCTTTTCTCCATCGGACGCTTTCCATTCCCCAAACACAGAGGCCAGGCAGAGTTGGAGGCACCTACAGAGATTACAACAAGTACAGGTAATTCACCTCACCACACTGCTATGTATTGTGTTTGGGCTTGTTTTTTGTGTCACTGTTCTCAATTTACCTCAGACTGGATACTGATATAATTTCTAACGTCAGCATCAAATTTTTATTTATTAATCTGTTTTGGTCAAAGGCTACCTCGCACTACAAATTTAGACAAAAATAGGCTACATCTGATTTTCTTCTGCTCAGCAGCACAAATCATATGGAATCTAAACTTTTCAATTCTGATTTGTGCCACTTTTATATGTGGTTCTCTGATTTCCCGTCATTTGGCCAGCCTGAGTACCATTTCGTACAGACCAGACATTAGCCAGAAGCAGCCTTAAGTCCAAGCTTCATCAGACTTTCTTTGCCATCAGTATGCATCGTGGATCATCTGAATTGAAATTGTTCTGTTTTGTGGGATACTTATCCTATACCAGTCCTGTTGTCCAGTGTACTCTGATGATTTCCCTTCCTAGCTCCAAGCCACAAACAAATGCAAAGGATGGGTGGGATTCTCAGGTGGAAGATGTCAGTTCAGCGGATGAGAAGAAGACTGGATTCAAGGACTTCATAATGCAGCTGCCTCTTCGTAAAACTACACGTCATCCTGCCAAAGACCCTAAAGGCTCCATGAACAGGGACAGCAGGACAAGAGTGTCACACCTCAGAGACCAAACAGATGTAAGGAAGTGTTATTGATTTAAGATAGGCAGCAGTTGTCCCTGTAGGTTGAGCTCTATGGGATGATGTGGTTAGGTTGATCCATCTAACTGTCGGTCTCTGTCCAACACGTACGTCTAGAGCAAGATATATACTGACCAGGTTTACATGGCTTCTTGGTATAATAATAGTTTTGGTAAAACTCTGCCAGAATCTTTGAAAACAAAACAAATGATAAAGACCAAAATGAAAATCAAGTTTGAGGTCAAAGCCACAATTCACCTGCCGCCTTTTTCTTAACTGTCTGGTAACTATGGTAATTAGAGTTAGGATGTGATTTAGGAAAAAAGAAAAAAGTTCCTAAGTCAATGTTCCTATTCTAACTTAATATTTAAGTAATTTCCCCCTGGGATTATTAAAGTATTTTTGATTCTGATTCTGATATAGGAAAAGTGTTTTACACAAGCACCCTAACTTCGTAACTAACTTAAATAAAGATAACTTTCATTTTTCCACCAGGCAATGTTATCTAACTTCTTTAATCCATTTGGCTGCTCTTTTATTAAGGCGTTTTATTTGTGCCTCATTCCTGAGAGAGCAATGGGAGATTTGGAGCACAGAAACACATTTTGAAACCACATTATTTTATATTTTTAAGAGAAATGATATGCAAGCAAAAAATATTTGTTCTGTGCACAATAAATGTATTTGCATGTTTGCTCTGACTGTACACTCACTCAACTGTTTCTGTAATCTCACATTGCTCGCTCAGGAATGAGGCAAAAATATAACGCCATAATTGATGGCTTTTACACAACTAATGAAATGTCAACAGGCAAAGCTTAGCCCAGTCTCCCTTTTATCTCAAGTTATCGTTGCTGTAGATTTTTTGTAAGATTTTTTGTAAGATGTTACCAATACATGTAACTCGCCTGTCTTAAAGTTAAGTACCTGTCATTGTTTTTGCTTCATTTTATGTATATTTAAGTCTGTTTCTATGAGAAAACAAAGTTGCTTAGCCCAGTGAAATAGAAAAGGAGGTTAGGCTATCTTAATTTAAGAATTAAGTTAGGCTGTTTCTGTAATCCTGAAGTTCAAAATGAGCAGCCTGCAGCATCTATAGCTGACTTGTAGGATTATACCATCCTACAAGCCTACGCTTGATTTCAAAGAAACTTCATAGCCTGCTGGTTTAAATTGTCTGTTGAAGGTGTGCTTTAACACATTCCTGGAATGCTAATTCTTTATTATTACAAGCTCTAATATTCATACAATATTTCTAAACTTATATTTAGAGTGAGGGAGGTTTGGTTCCTTTACCACCACTGCTGGTACACAAGCTTCCTTTAGTGGTATGCCGAGGATTCCCTGGAATATGTTTAATGAAATAAATTAATCTAAAAATATACAATATCAAAATACTGCAAAATTTCAAAGAAGATGAGAATGCCAAAGTTTTGCCTTTCTTGCAATATGAAAAACGGTGAACCAGCATTAACTGTTTCAGCAATTTGAGCTATAGCAGCTCGTCTGTTTGATTGGACCACACGGGCCAGTTTTCGCTTCCCCGTGCATCAGTGAGCCTTGGCCACCTTTAACCCTGTCCCCACAAGCAGTTTTGGAGATAGTCTGACCCAGTCGTCTAGCCATCACAATTTGGCCCTTGTTATATTCACTCAAATCCCCACGCGGCCCATTTTTCTGTTTCTAACACATCATGTTCATGTGCTGCCTAATATATCCCACCCAATGACCGTAATAACCAGATTATCAGTGTTATTCACTACATCTGTCAGTGGTCATTATGTTGTGGCTGGCTCGGTGTATACTTTCTTATCTGATATTAGTATGATATTAATTTGACTGTCCGTCTTTCCACATTACTAGTGAGAGATTAGCCATTTGGTAAATGTGGTGGTAATGAACTAGTCAAAGCTGATCACTGTCTGCAAAATATTTACAACACACCCAAATCAGAATCACTATAGCAGAAGAACCTGTTCCCACAGGACGATGTCATATCCCACTCCTCTACATCAGAAGAAGATGAAAGTGAGAAGAAGCAGCAGAGGAAGCTGAACCAAAAGAGGATTAGGAGAAAGATCTCCAAGTTCTTCAAGTTGAAATTAGAAAAAGAGAAGGACAAAGAAGGGCATGAATCCTATCCTCAGAGGCCTAACACTCTGCCAATTGACAAAGAAATAGAGCCATTGCCAGCCATCGTCTCTCCCAGTAAGCTCTTCCATTATACTATGGAACTATACATGTTACATTTATTTACTGCTAAGAAAGTCAAAAATGAAAATGTTGAATTTTTCATTGATTTAAATGCACTATAATACTGTGTGCCTGCAAACCAGCCTGTCAATCAATGTCTCTTAGAAAGCTACAGTGTTACTGATTGCACCTGGTTGTAACCTGAATTTGTGTGTATATTGATGTGACAACAGTGAAGAGTGGCACAATGAAAGTTTTCATCTAAGATACTTGTTGTGGTTCATTTTGATGTAGATTACCCTCCTGAGTTCTATAATGAAGTAGCAGAGAAACTTGAAAAGATTGCCCAAAGGTCCACCAGTATAAAGAAACACAGTCCCACAGCCCAGCCTTCACCAGGTAATACACACACACACTTAAATCAAATTGAAGAATGTAATAACTTCTGATTGCGGGACGGAACCCGCTCTGCCTCCTGAGCCACAGCTGCCCCAACTACACAGCTAGATGCCACTAGAAGCCTAGATACTTGACCCTTCCCTTTTTTATGCCATGCCTCTCTATGTTGAAAAAACAACCAAACTTTGAAGATGGTTAAAAGATAACAGTGCCAAAATGCTGTTCAATTTAATTTAGTTTTATTTGTATAGCACCAATTCATAACAAAAGTAATCTCAGAACACTTTTCAAATAGAGTAGATCTAGACTGTACTCTTACAGAGTCCCAACAGTTCCCACCATGGCACTTGGTGACAGCGGCAAGGAAAAAACGTCCTTTTTAGAGGCAGAAACCTTGGACAGACCCGCTTCTAGGTGGGTGACGTTCTACCTTACTTCCAAAAAGTTGGGGTTAGAGAAAAGAGTGGGGTAGAGGGGTAGGGTTAGAGTGCATGGGTGGTAAAGACAGGAGAGTGACAGAGACAAAGGTTCACAGCAACAACAATAGCAACAACTATACTAGTAGAAAAGACTTATATGATGATAGAGACAAACGATGATAATAGCATGATTAATAATAAATAATAATAATAATAATAAAATAATAATAGAGAAGTGAAGTTAGTACTGCATAATCGGGACATGAATGAGTGGCAGAAGAGGAGGAAGGAGGAGGAGCTCAGTGCACCAAGGACATCCCCGAATACGTCTCAGGCCTATGAGTCAGCAATAACTATTCTCAGAGATAGTTCGTTCACGACTCACCCTGATCCAGTCCTAACTATAAGCTTATCAAAGAGGCAACGTCTTCAGGCTACCTCTTAAATGTGGAGAGGGTGTCTGGCCTCCTGAACCACGAGCTGGCAAGTCTTGGTCCACAGAGAGGAGTTGAGTAACTGAAGGCTCTGGCTCTGGTTCTACTTTTAGAGAAACTATAGGAACCCAAGTAGCCTCAGCAATTCAGTAAGAACGCAGTGTTCTAGAGGGAATAGGGATATTCATGAGGCTCTTTGAGATATGAAGGGGCTGACCATGAGAGCTTTATTAGGTGAGGAGGAGGATTTTAAAGTCTATTCTAAATTATAAGACTTAAACCAGCTTGCAGTTCCTTTAATGCAATGTTGTCTCTTCAACAAAATTGCTGCTCATGTGGAAAAGGCATTACTCCATGCACCAGTAGGAAGCAGCTAAACTAAATGACTACTGGGACCAGAATACACTCATGGATCTATAACCTGAACTATCTTGTTTGTATTTCATCTTTTCACTGGCACCTGTAGCCACAAGCTGACACCAATGAGCTTTTTAACACAGCTATTTTCAGTCCAGCCCAAAAAGTAAAGTATACACACAAACTAAGAGCTGTAGGACCCACTTTCATTGACTGGAAAGTTGTCACTTCTTTCTTTTAGCAGTGTCTGAGAAAGAGGCAGTGGTGCAGCAGCTTGTTCAGGTACTCTCTTCAGAGGGAGATTCTATCAACACTAAGGTAGGTAGTGGTTCACCATAGGTTGTGTAAAGCTACATCTGTCTATCTGGCCTCAGTGCCTGGCTTTCTGTTGTTATAATGACCTCTGCGTACCCTGTTTTTGCTTTGTCTGTCAAAGCACTTTGTAAACTCTGTTTTTAAAGTTGCTATTTAAATTAAATCATCATCATTATTATTATTATTATTATCATTATTATTATTATTATTATTATTATCTGCACACTTGTAAACCTCCACTACGTATATAGCTAAATGCATCTTTTTATAGATCCAGTCAGACCAATTCCTGCGCTCCAGCTTGGCTCGTCTCTCCTATGCATCATTTGCCAAGCTTCTGGACACTTACGGCAGCAATCAGGTATCTGAAGCCCCGTCCCTGCCGCCAGCAGCTAGTCCAACACTACGACGCCTGGCTGTCACCATGGAGGTATCACGGCGGATAGTGACAGCCACAGGAGCCCAGCGCATACAAGGCTATGCAGAGTGCTATATGGAGACCTTTGCCCCCTGGGTCAAGAACCACGGAGGATGGGCAAGTGATTTAATAAAAACCTATTTTTAACTTCCATTATTACAATTAAGACAGCTCTTATATAGAAGCAGGTATTCAAATAATAACCCAGTGTTAAAGAATTGCCTGACCTGCATCAACAAATAGGGGCTGAGAGGGGCATACGTGCACCATCACATCTTAAGTTATCAGAGAAACAAGCTAAGCTAACGTTAGCAGCATCTCAGCTTGCCGGCCGATCTATCTATACTAATTTTTAGAGGGGCTGGTGTGGGTGGGATTAAGGGAATGATATGATGTGGTTCGGGCTTTTCTGTGTTAATGCTTTCTGTCTATTTCTGTTTGAAAAAATGTATGAAAAAAATGTAATTTCGATCAAAAAAGATAACCTTTTATTTCATCTTCAGGAGAATGTGATTGATTTGGAGGAGCCTGCAGAGTACGACTGAGCTCCCAGGGTTCAAAATGAAGAGAGACGGATGGACCTCACTTTGCTTACCTACAGAGTATCATCTGGACTGTGACAATACTCCAGAATCCTCTTTGAGGATGTAGACAGTCATGTTCCTCTATTATATACATGGAGGTCACTTGCTGAGTGGCTCACAGAGGTTCGAAACCGCCTCCATGCACCTGGGACCATATTCAATTCAATTTTATTTTTTATAGCGCCACTCCTTTTAACCCTTTCCGAGAACGCCACACCAGTAACCCCACCATGACAACGACCTTAGGCGACGGGCCAAGGAAACTGCCCTTTTAACGGCAGACCTCGGACAGGTTGGGGTGAGAGAGAGAGAGAAAGAGATAGAGATAGGAGTGCCATGTTTCTTTTTTATTGTGTTTTATAGTGTTGATGTTTATATGTTTTCTATTGTTACTTGAAGTCAAAGAATGTGAACAAATGTGTATTTTGTATTGTTTATAAGAAAATAATGATTGTGTTTTTATGCCATATTACGTTTTATATGTATTTTTATATTTGAATAAAGTTAGCACAAAGGGGTATTTTGAAACAAACCTGCCAAAATCAAATATAAATAAATTACTTAATAAAAACATGTAATAAATACATTTAAAAAATACAACTTTAATTAAATATAGAAGCAAATCAATACAGAAATATCAATTTATGTCACATTTTACCCATATTTAACTTTCCTATTTTTTTTTATTTTTCGTGCATTTAATGGCACATTCATTTATTTATTGAGTCATTTATTTTTGATTTTGACAGTCTTGGTCCTCCATACAATTGACAAGGTACAGTGTATTTTACTTATGAGGGACGGGATGTGATAATCATTTTGACTCCCTTTGTTTCACTGAATACAACTGACACAAAGGATTTGCTATATTTTGCCTAGGGGACTACGGCTATTTAAATATATTGTTTTTATTTATACTTTTATTTACAGTTTCACTTCGACATTGGAGGAAGAAAAGCAGGCATTAACTCAGCAAAGCAGTATCTATTTATTTACAGATCAGTCTGTTAGAATACATTTGACTGGAATGAAAAATTAGATTAATAGAAATTAGGAACATTAATAACAATGCTTGAGGTCAAATAAACCTATCAAAGACCTGATCTCAAGAATTTCTTGTTGCCTTGTTCACCTGCACTCATTTATGGGCTGATATATGGGCTGATATTTGTGCCA